AGACAAACTCCATATATATGGACAGTTAACTTTTGATAAAGGAGATGAGAATATGAAATGGAGTAAGATATCCTCTTTCACAAAGGATGCTGGGAAAACAGGATAACTACATGGAAGAAATTAAAGATGCTACTATCCAAGGCCAGGGGAAACAGGGTCCAGGAAGACTGGCCAATGGTTAGAAATTACTAGAGTTGTGTGTGGGTTAGAGGGTACTTAGATAGAGGAGAGTCCAGTATGACAACAATAGTTGGAAATGATCACTCTGGACAAGAACTGACTGTTAATTAGGTAAAGGGATGATAATTTTCAGCATCTGTATTGCAAACCATAATGCCTCAAATGAGAGAGGGAGATAGAGAAAGAGAGAGAAGGAGAAGAGAAGAAAGGTGTGGGGGGGTGCCGTAGGGAGGGTGAGAGGAAAACTGGGGACATTAGTGTTGGGAAATTACACAGGTAGAAGCACGAGTGCTGGAACATGTATGACTGAAACCCAATAACAGCTTTGTAATGCTCTATCTCATGGTGATTCAATAAAAAAATTAATCTACAAATAGAAATTAAAGATGTGATTGGGTAGCAGACATATATCGGGCTTCTAGTGGTGCATTAATCAATGGTAACAATTTGAAAAAATAAATGATCAATTTAAATGGTCTCATTGTGTTTTTTAGAAAAGTGCAACCAAACAAAATCATCAAACTCAAAATGAGGAAATGCTCCACATATGTAAAATTATTTTCTTTTTAGTTATGAATGTGCTATTTTTTAATTTTTAAAAAAGAGGTTTTATTGGATCCCCGTGAGATACAATTACAAACTTGCATGATTGTGTTTTAGTTAAACTATGTTCGAGCACCCACCCCTCCACCAGTGCAACTTCTCCACCACCATTGTTCCCAGTGTCCCTCCACCACCCCCACCCCACCCCACTCCCTGCCTCTGTGGCAGGTACCATTCTTCTTACTCTCTCTCTCTCTCTCTCTCTCTCTCTCTCTCTCTCTCGTTTTCGGCATTATAATTAGCAATACAGATACCAAGAGGTCATTGGGTTTGGTCCTTGGTTTACTTTCAGCACACATCTCCCATCCTGGGCAATCCCTCCAATCATCATTTACTTAGTGGTTCCTTCTCCATTCCAACTGGCTTTTCCCCCTGCACATAGGACTGGCATCAAAACCATGGTGTGATCCTTCCAGCCCTTATCTCTACTGTCCTTAGGTGTTAGTCTCCTTTTATGCTACTTCCTATTCCACAAATGAGTGCCATCATTCTATGTCTGTCCTTCTCTTTCTGACTCATTTCACTTATCATGATATTCTCCACATTCATCCACTTATATGCGAATTTCATGATTTCATCTCTTCTAACTGCCGCATAGTATTTATTCCACTGTGGAGATGTACCAGAGTTTCTTCAACCAGGCGTTCTCGAACACTTGGGTTTTTCCCAGACTCCGGCTATTGTAAGCTGTGCTGCAACGAACATACAAGTGCAGATATCATTCCTACTGTATTTTTTCGCACCGCAGGAGTGATATCTCTGGGTCACACTTATGGAAGATTTTATACAGCATTTTGCGCTTGTTGCAAGAACTTTGAGGATTGGATTCAATTCTAGAACCAAGTGAAACTCAGGCATTCACAAGCTATGGTCTGTTTTGCCAAACTGTTAAGCAAGAATCACTAAAATGACAGGTGGGGACACTGAGTTCGGTCACTTGGTGTGAAGGAGGACGAGTTTTGGAACTGCAGAGAAGCTTGGATGGTGCCCTCAGGTGAGTCCTGCTCACGGACAGGGTGGAACCCAAGTGGAACTCGCCTGCCTGGCATGTGCCCGCTCTGTGTGTAGAGTACATGCATCATGGGAGTGAGGAGTCCCAGCTTCCCTCCGGGTACTGTGAAACAAGGAGGCTCTTGGCCTACTTTCCCCTCCCAGGACAGAGTGCAGCCTTGTGGATGGCGTCAGGACACCCCAGAGCTGACTGGGTAGAGGAGAAGAAGAAAAGTCAGGGACAGAGAACGCCATGGGAGGCTGCAGAGCCAAACACCACAGCTGGTGCCCGCCACCTCACGGGGTGGGAAACCATCTTTATTTAAGAACCGTTTGCTACCAGAGTCCATAAACAACTACCAGACAGGAAGTACAGAGAGACAAAGTTGGGCCAGCGGGAGCCCTTCTCTTGGGTCAAGTGGGAGTCAGGTCTGTGATGTGATGGGGCTCTGCCTTGCCCAGCTGTGAGCTTCTCTAAGCTCTCTGTGCCCTGCAGGGATGAGTCTCCCGAAGTTTGGGGTCCAAGGCAGGGTGCACCCACCTAAGGGCACTGGGCTTTCTGGGCTCTGGGCCACATGCTCCTCTGTTTGCCTCCCCAGTCCTTTGGCCATCTGTGTAAGACATGGTGCCCTTGGCCCCTGGGCACCTCTTCCCACAGGGCCCTTTAGAAGACCCACCTAAGCCCTCCCACCACTCAGGGCCTCCTTGGCAACCTCAGACCCACATTTGATCTGAGTCAGGGAGAGGCACCGCCTGAGCCTCAACATTGGTGTGACTGTGTCTCCCTCCCTGTAAGCCCAAGGGCCCTGTCCCAGCTGGAGAAGGGACAGGAGTCCACATTCTGCAGCCTGGACTTACCCACAGGCTTGACGGCTCTCAGGCTGCAGGGACCACAAAGGTCCTTGCTGGGCTGAGCTCCTTGGGAGTCTGGGAGGACACAGCATCTCCAGACGTGTCCAGGTACCATCCACCCAAAACCCTGACCACCGCTGTTAAAGTTCCCCCAAGCTCCCGTTAATGGGAAGGAGCCATTTACTCATCCCTGAAGGATTTTGTCTCCTGGTGTGGAACCTGACCCCTGTTATTTTTATACAGAGACCCCATCCCACCCTCTCCCAGCTTCCCATGGCCCCTCTAGATCCTTAGGCCCTGAAGGGAAAGAGAGACCCTGACCTCACTGCCCCCACCCCTGAAATGAGAGCTGCCCCTGCTCTGAGATTGAGCCTGTAGATGAGCCGAGTGGACAATGAATCCTGCCCATGCGGGATTTCCCCCACTTGGTGGCAGGCAGGAGAGCCCAGCAGAGGGTTGTGACTCAGCAGTTGGCAGAGTGGGTCCCCTCAGTCCCCAGCCCATCTCTGCAAGGACACGCGGGGCTGTGTCTTCTGCCTGCCTCCTGGCCTGTCCTCCCCCAGAGGGCCAACTCCACATGACAGGTGGTTGGTCCGAGGGCTCAGCCACAGGAAGGTTTGAAACCTAGGCCCACGCTTGCTCTCTTTCCTTAGGGGCCTCATCACTGTCCTCAGTGTCCCTGTCCTGAAGCCTGTTCAGACCATAGGCTCCGACCGCCCTGTGGCGAGGAAAGAACAGCTCCTCCATGTTGGTACCCAGCTGGACACCAGAGTCGGCACCACCTGCATAGCCCCGAGGAGGAAACGGAAGACCTGAGCAGGAGGCCTTTGTCCTCACGGCCCCTTTTCTAACAAGCAGGGCAAAGGCCGTCTCAGCCACGGGGTCTGGCACAGGTTGGGAGAGGGCATTTGGGTTCCCATTAAGGCGGACCTGAGTCCCCGGTGCCCCTCTCCCTGCATGGAGGGTGGCAGGGATCAGACGGTTCCAAAAGCCAGGTCCTCACCAGGGTTCAGGGCGCTGGCAGGGCTGAGGAGTGTGACTGACATTTTCCGGAATCTATGGAAGAGGGTAAACAACAGAAACCCGCCCGGGAAAACAGGGCAGGACTTCAAAGTTTAAAAAACTTACAAAATAGAGCTCTAACTGTAAACTACAGGAACCAGCCATGGGCCAGGGCTCTAAGCTGGTCCCACAGCTCCTGGCCAGGAGCCGCCTGTTGGAGCCTCAGCATCAGGGCTCCCCTGCACTTCCAGCCCTGCTCGTGCCGGGGGAGGCTCATCCTTGCCTTGGCCTCTTTGATTGGAGCAGGGAGTAGAGCAGAGAGCTTGCAGCCAGCAATGCCGAGAAGGCAGAGAAATTCGGGGTGACTCCTGGGGTGAACCCAGACTGAGGCCAGGACCCAAGTACCACCTCATGATCTGTTACAACCCAGACAGGCCTTCATTGGTGCAGCCTGTGCCTCCCTCAGGTAGGCCTGGAGGAGGAAGCTGGGCACCAGTGCATCCCCCAGGCATCACTGCCAGGCTGGGAGAGTCTGCCAGCCTCCTTTCTTGGCCCTCCCTCCACTGCCGCCTGAGAAGAGATAGTGTTGGACAGTGGTCCACTAATCCTTTCCCAGCGCTGATGCTCTGTGACTGACTGTACTTAGAAATGTCCCATTTATTACCCTTTTCTTCTGGGGAAGCATCAGTGGGCCAAGGCAGCCAGGACAAGCACTCCAGGCATTCCCAGGAGCAGGCAGGATGCCTTTCCTCTCTGTCTTCTCAGAAGAAGCCCAACACCAAGCTAACACCCTCATCCTATTCCCCAGCCCATGCAGAGGGCAGAGGGCAGCAGATTGGGGCTTGCAGTGGAGGAGAGGACGGTGGACCCAGGGCCCTATACCCTACCCAAACCCTAGGGGGAATGTGACATGGCTTCGGAGGGGCTGGGACCTCCCCAGGACAAGCCCTTTAGTCATGCAGCCTCGAGTGGCATCACTCTGCAGGGACAGCATCAGGTTGGCAGTGGTGGCTAAGAGGCCTCATCAGCTGGACAGTGGCTGTGCCTTGGGCCAAGTCTGAGGCAAGGCACCAGGTGCTGGCTCCCACTGCAGCGAAGTACACCCCCAGAGCGGCAAGTCTTTGGGGTCCTGATTCTCACTCCCCAGGCCCATCAAGGACAATGTCAGGGAGAAGCTGAGATGCTTATTTGAAGGTGGGAGGGTCCTGGTCCTGCCTTTGACTCCCTGAGACTGAGGATGTTCATGGTTGAGTTTCCTCAGCTGCAGCCGGGCACAAGTGCTGGGCCAGAGGCTCTGCCCTCGAGGTACAGAATGCAGACGTGTTTCGGGAGCCCCATCTCTGCAGTTGAGTGGGTAGGGATTGAACCCCTTCTTCCCCAGGCCTGTCACTCCAAGTCCAGTTCGCAGGTGACATCGGGTGGAGGTTCCCACTCTCAGAGAACAGAGTACCCGGTGCATCTTGCTTAACAGAGTCCTTGCAGGGGTTCTAGCAGGAAACACCTGCCTCCACGGTTGGAAGGGCACCCTCTGAACCGGCCGTCTGCGCCCAGCCCCTCTCAGGCACAGTGGGGGCCTAGCCAGGCAGAGGGGGCCCGTCAGAGCTCCAGGGAGCCAATGAGCACCAGCATGGCCACGGAGTGTGAGAAGATGGCACCGGGGTGCAGGCTGAGGCAGGCCGCCGAGGTCTCCACCATCATGCTTGTGCCTGGAAGTGGACCCGGGGGCAGAGTCAGGGGCTGGGAGCACCTCTCAGCCACCCCTGCCTGGGTGAGGCTGCCCCTACCCCAAGAAGGCCGGGATCCCTGGGGAGCAGCACTTCCGGCATTTACAGCTCTGCACTTCCGGTAGCCACCCTGCCCCAATCAGGGGTTCCAGGCCTTTGGGGTGTCAGTGGGAGTGAGGAACAAGGTGGCCCAGGGATGACACACTGGCTTCCCACTGCCCTTCCCTCCCAACTAGGGTTGGCCAGGGGAGGAATTCATCCCTCCTCAGGCATCTGGGTGGACTGTGGGCGCCAGCATGGAGAAGCCGCACCTCCATTCCTCACGATGTGGACTTCGGCTGGAACCCCGTCCCCCCCAGGCCCTGTGGTTCGGATCTGCACCAGGGCATGGCCGATATCTTCTGGGACTGCAATTTCAATCCGATTCTTGCTGGTGAGGTGGAGTGTGGGTGTTGGGTGCAGGTCATTCTGGTACAGCATCTGGGGGAGGAGGTCAGCAAAGAGCGGCTAGGGGTTTCCTTCTACGTTCTGTCCTTGGACCCTTATTCCAGTCCCTGCCTCTGATCCCCCTGGAACAAATTCCTCAGCATGCAAGTGAAGTGGGCAAACAGCCAAGCTGCCTTAGCCAGCTCCTGAGGCCTGGAAGACCCAGGATGTCACCCACTGCCCCATGAGCTCTGCCTCTGGGAGGGCACATTATCTGCCCTGATGCCCACAGTCCTGCTCCCTGGAGAGCTCCTGCCAGGTCACTCTGGTCACTGTGCCACGTCTCACTCTGCCTCCCTGTCTCCACACTGTCCGCACCACACCCTTCTCACCTTATAGCCAGTGACCGCAGACTCATTGCGCAATGCGACCACTGGATCCCACTTGATACTGAGCCTGGAGCTGGAAAAGGTCCAGGAGATGTTACCCGGAGGTCGCTGCGGAGCTGCCAGAGAAGAAAGCGTCAGGGACTTCAAAATGCTTCCTCATCCACTGCTCCCTTACTTGACTTGGGAGTTTGGGGCCACACTAGTGAGTGGAGTTGCTCCTGGAGGTGCTTGGGGGACCATGCAGAGTTGGAGACTGAGCCCAGCATGCACAACCCACTGAGCCATCTCTCCAAGTCCCAGTCCCTGGCCTTTGCCTCTTTCCGGATGTCTGTTCACCAGAGTCCCACCCAGGGTGCTCGGTGCTAGCTGCAAGCCCTTGGAAACCAGTAAGCTGAGGAAGAACAATGTACTTGGCTTCAGGGAATTCCACTGCCTCATGCCATCAGGCAGGCTGTCTGGTTTCTACCCCCAGCCAGGGCTTGTGAGCTGAAGCATTTACCTCCTCACTGGAGAAAGCGTCAACTCAGAGGGACCGGCAAGGGCTCAAGGGACTGGGCAGTAGCTTTGCATGTGAGACCCCCAGGTTCTCTCCCCGGCACCCCTTGGTCCCCCCTGGCATCCCCCCCCCCACTCCACAGCAGGGGGGCAGACTCACGGGGCTTCATGGTCTGGGTGCTGTCAGAAGGGCTGGCAGGCCCAGTACCCGCCCTGTTGTAGGCCCGCACAGTCACATGGTACTTGGTGTTGGGCTGCAGGCCAGTGACTCGGGCACTGGTGTCCAGCCCTGCAGTTCTCACACGGTCAGCCGCTGCCTCCTTGTCTCCGGCTTTCCAATACCGGATCTGAACGGGCAGGGGTGCTCCAGGTTAAGGGTTAGGTGTTGGACCTCAGGGTTCCCTTCACCTTCACCTTCACCCAAGCCCCAAACAACCCTGTCGCCCACTCTGCCATTTGTGACTCGCTCTTGGGATGCAGAGACACATGCTAGGGAAGGGGTTCTACAAGAGCATGGGGTGAGTCAGCGGGTGAGTCAGGGTGGGGGTCTCTGCATCCTTAGTGAGGGGCTGGATGAGAGCAGGCAGAGTCAGTGGGGGGATGGGCACAGTCATGGAACACATCCCATCAGGAGCGGGAGCCAGCTCCTCCGCTCGGGGCGTCTTAGAGAGAAGGGGTCACAGGGTCAGTCCTTGGCAACACAACCCCTTGAGTACCCGCAGGAGTGACCTAGCAGCGTGGCCCCCTGGACTGTCCTGTGTGACAAACCCTCCCCTCTCAGGTGAAGCCTAGGGAATCGTGGGGTTCAGCTGAAGGACATGGAAGGGTACTATGATGGCAAAGTGGCCAGTCCAGTGAGGAGCCTTGAATGGCAAGTCCATCTGAAGAGTGTTGGTGAGCCGGACACTTGCAGGTGTCCTTCCCTGTCAGAGAGACTCAGTAGCCCCTGCCCTGCCCTGCCCTGCCCTGCCCACACCCAGAGCCAGCTTCTCTGGAAGGGACTGAAACGTCTCAGGGCTTCTGAGTCTTCCTGGGACACTGATGCTCCTACTACTCCTCCACATCCTCCTCCTCTTCCACCTCCTCCTCCTCTTCCTCCATCTCCTCCTCCTCCTCCTCCACCTCCCCCTCCTCCTCCTCAGTCCACTCTGAATCTACTGAGCACGGGGCCCGCACTGTAGAATATTCTGGACCAGGCTCCCAGGCACAGGTTCCAGTGGGCAGGGGTGCACCACACTGTGACCCTAAGATGCCCGCTGCCTGGTCTCTGAGAAAGCTGCTCTCCTTCCTAGAAGCCCCAAGCTGCCTCTCCAAGACCCCACTGCTTCTGGCCAGAATTGACTTGCAGGCTGCCTCCACCTGTCTCCCGCCAGCCCCAGGCATGTCTGCAGCACTGTTGACCTGACCAGGGCAGCAGTGAGCCCAGGAGCCCGGAATCGGGACTCTCCTAAACCTTGACCCCAGCACCCCACCATCACCCATGCCTGTTACCTCATAGCCCAGGAGGATCCCATTGACGTCCTGCTGCACCGGCTCCCACGTCACGTTCATCTCTGACGAGGAGACTCCTTTGGCCCAGACCTTGGTTGGGGCCACTCTGGGCTCTGCAGAGCAATATTAATGTCTGTGGAGTTCAGAGCCCCCCAGAACCTAGATAACCGCTTCCCCCAGGACTGCCTCGAGAGCTTAGAGCAAGTCCCCCCTCCCCAGAGAGCCCCTCCGTCACCATAGCTTGATACGGCACCAGGAGGAACTCCATCCTGAGAGCAGGTGTCCCCCGGCTTCCATGGGGGTGTGGAGAGAAGGGGGTGTGAGGTGTGAAACTCAGGTGTGGGGTGATAGAGCTGGCCGGCTGTGGGTGCAGCCCCCCTGGCCCAGCCTTCAGGCTAACAGTGCAGGGGTGAGTCTCAGGCAGGCCCACCTTCCTCTGCTGAGTACACGAGCGCAGTGAGGCTCTCAGGCCCGTCCCCGCGGCGGTTGTAGCTGCGGATCTTGACCTCAAAGGGTGTGTAGGGCCGGACACTCTCGTTGCTGTAGACGAAGTGCTGGGCACCGGCACCGGGCACCCGGGTGCTCTGCCAGTTGGCGCTGCCCTGCCTGCGGAAGGACAGCAGGTAGCCGAAGCCATCTCCGTTCTGGTACTCTCGGGCCATGGGCTGAGGGGCAAGAGTGTGGCATGGGCGAGGCCGCTGTGGTTTGCGCCCTCCTCTGCCCACCCTGCTCTCCTGGGGCAGCCAGACCTCCCCAGGCGTCTCCCAGCAGTGGGGAGGTGCCAGGAGCGGGGAGGGGTCTGGCTGAGCCCTCTCTGCAGTGTGCACCAGCCAACAAGGTGTCAGGATCAGGGGCAGGGGACAGGATGTCTTCCACCTCCCCAGAGCTGGGCCCCACGTTTGGGTCTGCCTCTGCGACTCACCGTCCAGTTGATGATCAGCTCTCCAGGGGCGCCACCACCACCACTGAGTCCCGACGGGGCCACTGAGGGGGCTGTGATGGACAAGGGACACAGATCAGGCACCTTGAGGCACCAGAGGTCGCAGCCTGGGCCTGTGTCTGCAGAGCATGCGGGACAGCCGGCCTTCAGACGGGCCCAGCTGGGTCCTCCATCCCCCCAGAGGTGGGCTTCAGACTTCAGGAGTTGGGCTGACCTCAGTCCAAATCCTGGTTCTGCCACTCATCACTGGTTGTGCTTCCCTGCAAGTTACTCAACCTCTCTGGGCCTCTGATGAGGATGCACGTGTTTCCCTCAAAGGCCTCTTGGGAGAATCAAATGAAGCAAGAGAGTGACCAAGGCTCAAACACATAATAAATCCTCCTTAAAAGATCCTTGACCTCCTCCCTCTGGCTGGTTTAGAGGAAATATTGGGGGTCAACTCCAGTTCATTCTGGAAGAGGAACCCCACCCAGCACTGAAGTGAGTGCCAAGCTTTCCTTTGGGGTGGCACCGTACTTTCCATGATTTTTCTTTCTGTGGCCAATTGTATTTCCTGATTTTCTCAGTATTGAACAAGGCTGCTATGAAAACCAGTCCAGAGTTGCTCAGCACAGGAAGCTGGGTGGGGTCTGACTGGCTGAGGGCCAAAGAACGGCAGAGCTGGAGACCTGCGGAGTTTTGGCCTTGCCATGCACACCGCACATCCGCTGTGTAACTTGGGAGCAGTTGGGATGGAGAGCCATGGAGGCCCAGGGCAGCTGGAGATGTGCCTGAGGACACACCTTGGTGAAATGGTCCAGAGAGATGACCTTCGCCCTCTGCCTTCTAAGTCCATCCTGCTACCACATTCACTGCGTTCACCAGCCCACCATCCAGGCTGAGTGGAGATCACTCCATACCTGAGTCCAGTTAATAACCTTGAACAATTCCGGAAAGAGCTGGAGGTCAGCATGGGGCAGACAGGAAGTCACACTTGAGGGATGGGAAGTGACAGGCCATTCCCCACGGCCACAGCACAGAAGATGCAAGTGGGGCAGGGTTCTGAGTGCAAGTCAGCTGACTGGGTGTCAGGTAACTGTGGGGGTCTACATCTGGGAATGGCATGGAGACAGGCAGGAGCCCCTCAGCCTGGGCCCCCCTCTCCTCACCATGGCTCCTCTCTATTCTTCCCCCCTCTGGTGTGTGACCCCATGTCCTTGGTGAAGGGATGGGCCCAGACTATCCATTCCTCCTAGTCCTAGAGAAACCAGCCAAGAAGGACTTGGGGACACTAGCTGCTTTGATATTCTGCACAGTGCACTCACATATGCACAGGGGCACACAGCACGCAAGTGCTCACACATGAACATACACACACACACACACACAACACACATACACACAGAGCATGAGACCAATACGCACACACCCCTTCTTTCACAACCACAGTCCTGAATTCATGTTCAGGCTCTGCCACCTGACCCATCCCAGTTTTGTAATTTTTACTATTTTGGGGGGTAGTTTAGGGCTATAACTACTGCGCTTACTCCGGGCTCTGTGTTTAGGAATCACTCCTAGCAGGGTCCGGGAAGTAAACATTAAGTATTGTCCAGGCCCAAGCCTGCGTTGGGTTGATGCAAAACAGCTGATGACCTGCTACCCTTCCAGCTCTAAATGCAGATTTTTTTTCTTTTGGGTTCCACCCTGCAATGCTCAGGGATTTCTCCAGGTTCTGTGCTCAGGGTCACTCCTGACAGTGCTTCCAGGACCACAGGCAGTGCTGGGATTCCAACTGGACTCAGGCGCATTCAAAGCCAGATCTTACCCCCTGTACTGACTCTCCAGCACCTAGATTTCGATTCTGACTTCATCACACTCCCTTTCTTGTTATTGTCCTGGAGTTTGAGGGAAATTTCTGGTCCAGTACTTGAGGAACCATATGTAGTTCTGGGGTCCACAGAAAAAAACAAATGAACACTGTCCTCCCGTTTTTCATTGATTTGCTTGAATGGGCCCAGAAACGTCTCCATTTTGAGACTTGTTGTTACTGTGTTTGGCATATTGAATACGTCACAGGTAGCTTGCCAGACTTTGCTGCACGGGCAAGATACTCTCGGTAGCTTGCCGGGCTCTCCGAGAGGGGCGGAGGAATCGAACCAGGCTCAGCCGGGCTGGCTGCGCACAAGACAAACACCCTACCACTGTGCTATCACTCCAGCCCAGGGGTCCACAGAATACAAGGCAAATTCCTTAACCCCTATAAGTACCTCTCTGGTCCTTTCTTTCCTTTTTTGAATTTGGTTTTGGGTCATACCCATAGGTACCCAGGGCTCACTTCCACAGGGATCATTCCTGGTGGTGCTAGGGACCCAACCAGAACCTGATGGGTGCAAGATAAGCACCTACGCACTGTACTATCTCTCTGGCCCCAGCTTCCTTTCCATGTTTAAGGCGCTCTCTGTTCTCCCTTTTCACTCAGGATGGTTCTCCCAGCAGAGGGTCTATATCCTGACCCTGCCTGAGTGCTGTTCTCCTCTAACAGGGAGTCTGCAGCCACTGAGTCATGCCACAGTTCGGCTAACTACTTCTCCCATGGTTCACGTCATGAGGAGGACTCAGCTTTGTGACCTGATGGAACATGGTGGGGACTGCTGGGGGCACTGACCCGCTTCCTTGGTCCTGATTTTGCTGGAAGGTCCACTGGGCTCCCCCGTGCCCAGAATGTTGCTGGCTAAGACCCGGAACTCATAGTCCATCCAGGGAGTGAGGCCCAGCACCTGGGCGGTCTCGGCATTGCCCTCGATGTTGGCAGGATCTGCAAGGCACCAGCAGGAGAGGGGTCAGGATGGAGATAGGCAGGGACTGGGCCCAAATCATGACTCTGTATCCTCTAGGGTCCCTGCCATGCACAAGTTCTCAGGCCCTTTTCAGAGACCAGGAAAAAGTCAGTAGAGCTCTTCCCTGGAATCTCACGTGTGTTGTGCATACCCCACTATGAGTCTTGACAATCCTTCCAAGGCCGCGAGTACCCTTCTCCAGCTGTGGGAGGCCTCTGCTTGCCGGGGGCCTGGGCTGTGCTGCTGCAGCCCATCTGGGCACCCCCAAGCCCAAAACACCCCCTTCGGCACCTGCCTTTCAGGACCCAGCAGGGGGCGCTCACACTTACTGGTGCGGACCTGTTTCCACATCCCTGCAGGCAGGCTGCGGGCTTGCAGCGTGTACTTGGCAATGGGGCTGTGGTTGTCAAAACCACGGCTCCAGCTGAGCTGGACAGTGGTGTCTCCGATGTCCCTCACTACCACGCCCCCGGGGGGCCCCGGAGGACCTGCAAGGAGAAGCCAGAAGAGAACAGGAGTCTGAACTGGGCAGCTTCCAACGCGAGTCAGCTGCTGCAGTACTGAGATAAGGCAGCAGAGGGCGGAGCAAACACAGTCAAGAGGGAGGTGGGCCAAGGGCGGGGAGGAGGGATTGTCCAGGGGCTCTGGGTTGGGAGAGGGGCTGGGGGTAAGAGACCACGAGAGACCACACGTGTCGTAGATCTCACAGGGACCAATTTCTCAGCAAGACGCTTTCAGAACTTCAGCCTGAGGAAAGTTCTCCAAGTCTCAGGATGTTCTCCAGAGAGAATTTTAGAATCTTGGGCTTTGGAGGAAAAATATTCTGTCCTGTGGATTTCAGTGTGCATGTGTGTGTGTGTGTGTGTGCGTGTTTGGGGGCGGGGGTGGGGTGCGTAGCTAGGAGGAATGAAGGCCCGAGTAGCCGGGAATCACCTCGGATCAGGACAGTGGCCTCCTTGGACGCGCTGTCCACCACAGTCTGGGCTGTGCACGTGTACTTCCCGCCATGGCTCAGCTGTGCGTTCAGGAGGGTGAGATCCCCCACCGTCTCCTTCTGTGGGTCAGAGGAGGTGGCCTGGCTGGGAAGGGCCGGAGTCCTGCTCCCTGGCCCCTCCCCCAAAGCCCCCTGGCCCCCTGGCCCCCTGCATCTCCTGCTCCTAACTACCCAGGTAAGCTCTCCGCACCCCTTCCATGAAGCCCTCCAGGTTAGACAGCAGTGCCTGGGTCAGACTCTCAGAGCAGAGGCTTGAGGGTCAGTGGGGCCCCTGGAATCCCTCCAGAGGCCCATCTCTGACCTTCAGAGGGCTCTAGGATGCCACCCCCTGAGGGAGGGCAGTCACCCAGGATGAGGGGGTGCCTGTGGGTGAGGCTCAGGGAAGAGAATGGGCTTTGGGGCCCCAGGCATGGATAAGATAGCGTAGGACATCCGTAGGACATTGGCTGGAGCGATAGCACAGCGGGTAGGGCGTTTGCCTTACAAGCGGCCAACATGGCCAACCCGAGTTCGATTCCTCCGCCCCTCTCGGAGAGCCCGGCAAGCTACCGAGAGTATTCAATATGCCAGACACAGTAACAACCAAGTCTCCAATGGAGACGTTACTGGGCCCGCTCGAGCAAATCGACGATCAACGGGAGGGCCTTTACCTTTACCTTTTAGGACATCCGGGCCTGGTCACCAGGGAGGACTGAGAGGGTCACTGGGTCTCAGACTCACCATGCTGGCCCGGCGGTAGTGGGCGCCAGGTTTATCAAAGTCAATGGCGAAGCCGTCCAGGGCCCAGGTGAAGGTGAGGTCCATGGTGGGGTCATGAGAGGCATGGCACTGCAGGGTCAGGTTGTCACCCAAGTTGATGTCGGCACTAGAGGGGGCGAGGGTGATCTTGGTTGCATCTGCAGAGAAAACAACCCCCGTGGGTGAGAGTGGACAGACAAGAGAACACACAGGGTCGAGTGGAAGCAGGGGCTGGGGATCAGCCTCAGGAACGGGGAGAAGGTTCCCGGCCCTATCACCCCAGCCTGGCAGCAGCATCGCGCATGAGAGAGAGGGCAGCAGAGATGCCTCGGTGCTTGACTATGGGCGGTGACAGGCTCCTTGGGGTGCCCTCAAGGCCAGACAGGGAGGACCACAGGATCAAGACGATGGCCCAGCAGGCCTCACCTCGGACAGACAGGATGCCAGTGCTGTTGGCTTTGCCCATGAAGTTCTCCGCAAAGCAGGTGTATTTGCCTTCATCAGACCTACTGATGTTCCGAATGATCAATGTGCCCTCCGGAGTGACAGTCAGTCTGCGGCAAGGACAGAGGGGGTCTGCCATAGGGAGTCGTGGGAAGGGCACAGAGGAGCATGGAGGGGAAGAGGGGAAGAAGGGGAAAAGGAGCAGGGGGCAGGGGCAGAGGAAGGGGGGAGGAGAGAGGGAATGGAGGAGAGGAGGAGGGGATGGAAAAAGAGGCGAGTGAGAGGAGGGAGAGGCGGATGAGGGAGAGTGAGAGGAGAGGAAGGGGGGTTTGGGGGAGAGAGAAAGAGAGGGGAAGGGGAAGGGAGGGGAGGGGAGGGGAGGGGGAGGAAGGGGAAGAGAGGGGGAAGAGGGGGGAAGGGAGGGGGAAGGGAAGGGAAGGGGAAGGGGAGGGAGGGGAAGGGAGGGGAGAGGGAAGAAAGGGGAGGGGAGGGGAAGGGAAGGGGAGGGAAGGGGGATTGTTCCTGGGGAGGAGGGGGAGAGAGGGAAAAACAGCAAAAGAAGGGGTGGGGGTGTCCCTGGGGAGGAGGGGGAAGAAGTGCTCCCAGGGAAGTCTCACCTGCTGCTGTTGACCAGAATCTCAGTGCCTTTGCTCCAGAGCACCTCAGCCTTCGGGGCTGCCCGAGGCTGACAGGGGATGGCCACCTTTCCGCCACGAGCTGCAGGGATCAGGCGCCTGACGGGATTCAGTCTGAAATCCGGGGCCAGAGCTGGAAGAGGGTCGCTCAGTCACCCACAGAGCCCTGAGTGGCCACTGCCCTGTTAAGGAGTCACTTGATTGCCGGCTGGGTGCTTGTTCCCTCGGTGGCTGGCCTGCGAGAAGCTCCTGGCAGCAACCCCCAGCCCCTACCCACAGTCACCCCCACCCACAATCACCCCTCCCCACCGCCCCCAGCCAGGGCAGCTCTGAAGAGCCCCTCCTTGACTCCAGGCTCTGCTCTCCAGGTCAATTCTTTATCTTATCTTATTTGGGGGCCCTACCTGGCAATGCTCAGCGGTTGCTCCAGTGAGACTCGGGGGCCCCCACAGTGCCAGAGAGTGTACCTGGGCCTCCCACAGAAACAGCAAATCCCCCCACCCCAGGGGGCTTTAAAAATCATGGTGAGAACTATGGGCGCACGAGACGTCCCACGGTCACCTCTGTCCTCCCACCCCATCCCTGCCCTTGCAGAGCGCCTGGTGGCCCCTGCCTTAGGCCCTTTGGCATTCTGTTTGGAAATCCCTCAGAGCTCCCCTGCCGGCCCTATGGCAGATCACATCCCTGGTCTGTCCAGGGAGTCAGATTTCCCTGGCCGGTCCATCCCAGCGAACTGGCCCTGCGTAGAGGTGCCCGGTAGCAGCCTTCCTCATGAACCAAGATGCAAAAGGAAGATGAGCGTCTGCTCTGCCTGCTGGGAAGCTGTCCTGTGATGGGCAGCCCTGGCTCCACGCTGCCTTCTCATTTCATCCTCACCACAGCCGGGTGACAGCTGCATAGCTGACATGAAAATTCTAGAAGCAGAGCCTGAGAGGCTGCACAGGTGAAGGTCCTTGGCTTCGCTCAGCTCCATCCCTGTCACTACAGATGGCCTCCTGAGCACTGCTAGCAGGGAGCTCTCAGCACAGAGCCAGGCGTACACCAAGCCCCCATGGTGTGGTCCCCCTCACCCCTCCTAAACCAAGAAACAGAATCACAGGAGACAAGCACCTTGTCACTCTTCTATAGCCCAAGGAGTTGGGTTAAAGTCAAAATTAACTGATGTTTGGTTTGTTTTTTTTCAGTGACTTTTGCTGCCTTTTCCCACAGCCGCCAACTCTGATGTTGGTCACTGCAGTTCCAGAAGTGGCCCCAGCACCTGGCCTTGGAACCCCTCACACGGGCTCTCACTCCTTCCTCAAGAGCTTGAGTTCCACTCAGAAGCTGTTGGAAGTCTCAGGAGTCTGTGTGTGCGCGCGCACTTGTGTTTGTGTGCCTGTATACATGCACATGTGTGCACATGTACACATCCCCCATGTGTTTGTGTATATATGTGTTTGATTGCATGTGTGTGTGTATGCCTGTGTTGGTGTGTGCATGTATATCTGTGTATGTATACATGCATGTGAGTCTTGGGTGCACGTGTGTGCATGCCTGTGTGAGTGTGTGTGTGTGTGTGTGTGTGTGTGTGTGTAAAGGCTGTGAGGCAGAGCCCTTAAGTGTTTGCAGCCTCCCTCCTGCCCCCGGCCTCTTACCCTGCACAGACAGCTCGGCGCTGGCATAGACGGTGCCGTGCTTGTTCTCTGCAACACACTGGTACATGCCTGAATCCTCGAGGCTCAGCTTGGAGAACCGCAGGTCCCCGGCCTGCACCTCCACCCGGGCCTGTGCACACAAGCCCGCAGGGCAGGACAGAGGTCAGAATCCGGGCAAAGGACTGGCCAGGGTGGAAAGTGGAGGGACTCGGCGTGGGGGTGTGCAGCTGCCCAGTCCTATTTCTGGGCGAGCTGGAGCCCCGGGACTCCTACAAGTGGCATAAAGTGGACAGAAGCAGGTGGGCGGGAGCCCTGGACCAGACCCCGGATCCTCTGCTCAGGGCTCCAGCTGTCCAGCCCGTGGCCATGGGGTTCTAGGAGGGAGAGAAGCATGGAAAACCAACCCCCCCCCACGTTGCCTGATGGCCCAGAAAAGCTTCCACTTGGAGCGGGGGGAGGTCCTCATGGTGAGTGACAGGCGGGCAGGGACAACACTGACTTGGAGGGGGCCCAGCTCTCCTACCTGAGAGGCCAGGGGCTCCCCATTCCGCAGCCAGCGCACCGTGGGCCGGGGCTTGCCTGCGGCCGCACAGCCCCAGCGCAAGTTGGATCCAATGTCAGCCTCCGTGTCTGAGATGACCTTGAGCCACTCGGGCTGAGCTGTAGGGCGGAAGAGGGAGAAAGGCTGAACTGGACTTGGGAGCACCTCTGGCCCTTTGATGGCATCGCGGGGCTGCAGTTCTTACAAAGGACGGCAGAGGGCGCCGTCAGCGTTTGGAACTGGTTAGGGGCCGGGGGCTAGAAAAAGCCACCAGTGGGCCCCGCTGTGGCAGCAGTTTCAACCGCGCTAAAGCTTTCCTTGTGTCTTTTGCAGCCCCGCTGAAACGGGCAGCCTCTTCCCAAGCAGAAGGCCTGAGCAAGCCCACTCTGCCCCAGTCAGTGTCTGCTCGAGGGCACAAGGATGCCCGGGGGTGGCCCAGCGCTGTACCCTGCACGATGATCCGGCCCTGCACGGTGTCTCGGCCCTTGGAGTTCTCTGCTTCACACTCGTAGGTGCCCTCGTCTTCAAAGCTGACGCTGGGGATCTGCAGGGTGGGCTCGGCCGTGGCCCACTGCGGGGACAAGGAGCCTTCGACTTTGCGCCACTTGATTCTGGGGACAGGGCTGGCAGGGAGACAAAGCCAGAGGGGCTGGACTGAGACTCCCCTCTGTCTGCCACCTCTCTGGGTGCAAGTGAGGGCGCAGCCGGGCAGCGGGACCCCAGGCTGGGAAGGAGCAGAGGGAGAGAGGAGAGGAGGGGCGGAAGCACAGGCAGAAAAGAGCAGGAGCAAGGATGCTCTCCCCACCTGCCGCTCTGCCCTGCCCCTCCCCTCCTCTCCGTCTCTCCCTTGGTCCCCTTCTTCCCCTCCTTCATCCATTCCTCCTCCCACACTTCCCCTCCCTCCCTCCATTCCCTTTCCATCCCTCCCTCTCTTCCCTCCCTTCTCTTTCCTCCCCTTCCCTCTCTCCCTTCCCTCCCTCCCATCCGTCCTTCCCACATGCTCCCTCCCTCCCTTCCATTCCCATTCCTCCCTCTCTCCCTTGGTCCTCTCCTTTCCTTCCCTCCATTCATCCCTCTCATCCCTCCCTCCCCTTCCCTCCCTCCCTTTTCTTTCCTCACCTTCCCTCTCTCCCTCCCTCTCCCTTCCCTTCCTCCCATTCCTCCCTTTACTCCCTCTCCCTTCCTCCCTCCCTCTCTCTCTTCCCTCCCTCCCTCTCTTTCTTCCCTCCTCTCTCCCTTCCCTCCCTCTCTCCCTTCCCCTCCGCTCCCTCCCCACTCCCTCTCTTCCCTTCCCTTCTATTCCCTCTCCTCTGCTCTGGCCCGTCCTGCCTCCAACGGGAGGTTCCCATGAACCATGGGCCTCTCCTGGGCCTGCCTCCTTCACCAGGGGACCTTTAGTGTGGTCCCGTCCCCCATTGCTAACAGGGTCCTGCCTCTACTTTCCCAAGGGGCTTCAGCTCTCAGTGAGCAGTGTGAGAAGGTGAGCTGAGACTCAGAATCACTATTTCTTTCAGTGGAGAGATCTCTAAGGCAGTGTCCAGAGGCCCCTGGTGATACCCGTTCGGCTGCCGCTCAGGCCCACCAGTGCTCAGAGACTTCCAGGTGGGCCAACAGTGCTCCAGGTGGTGGCAGAAGTGACCCTGGAGCTCCTCATCGGGGCCCAAGAGCTCCAGCCCTTTGTGCCTCCTCCCGGCCACCAGCAGACTGAAAGGGCCAATAATGACCCTTGCAAATTCTTTAGAACAGATTGTAACTTCCCACAGTGTGGCTCTGAGGGAAGAGGGGGGTGCTTGGCCTGAGGGAAGAGGGGGGTGGGTGTAAAACCAGGGTCACTGTCACTGTCCTCCCGTTGTTCATCGATTTGCTCGAGCGGGCCCAATAACATCTCCATTGTGAGACTTGTTGTTACTGTGTTTGGCATATCGAATACATCACGGGGAGCTTGCCAGGCTCTGCCGTGCGGGCGAGATACTCTCGGTAGCTTGCCAGGCTCTCTGAGAGGGGCCGAGAAATTGAACCCGGGTCCATCGCGTGGGCCGCGTGCAAGGCAAACTCCCTACCGCTGTGCTATTGCTCCAGCCCACGTTGGGCGTGGGCTGAAAAACCAAGTTCCTCTAATCTATAAGCATTCATTGAGCACCTGTTGTTTGCTTAGCCCTATTATAGTGGACTTTTTCAGAGAGAACACATCTATGTATGCTGTAATTAAAAACAAATAACCAAAAAAGTAAGGGACAGCTAGCAGCTCCCCCAAAAGCTTGCTAAATGACTGGCTTGGCTTTACCTTCCTCTTCTGGGCTGGGGAGGAGATCCAGAGCCAAACATAGGCAAAGTGGCTCTGTCCACGACACTCCGTACCCCATGCCGTCTCCACTGCCCCAGGGGTGCTGCCTCCTCAGTCCTCCCCGCAGCCCCGGGATCCAGCACGGGCGGCATCACCACGTGTAAAAGAGAAGGGTGCGGGCATGTGGCCCTCTCCCGGACAGCGAGGGGCGGGGATGGGTGTGCGCAGCCTCCTACCCCACCCAGAGGTGAGCTGCCTGTGCAGGGAGCTGGGAGTCAGCAGTGGGTGCTGGCCCCGGGGGCACAAAGCTGCACCCTGCAGTGCTCAGTGACGAAGGGGCCCTCTCCCCGGCATCCAGCACCCTCTAGACCCTTGGCGAGGGTCACCGAGCTGTCCCTGCCCTTGTCTCTGGCCAGCCCGGTGCCCTCCGACTACCTACTTCCCGAAGGCGAAGCACTCCAGGGTGACTTGCTGGCCCAGCAGCGCATAGGTCTCCGCGGGGAACCGGGCCTTGATGGTGGGCGCGAAGAGGCGGGGGTCTGTGGACACAGGGATGGGGCCTCTTGGGTGCCTTAAGCCAGAGTCTTCCCCAGGACCCCCGAGTCCACGCTGTTCTGGCCCTGGGCACTGCCTGGAGCCACCCCGGCCACTGCCCACCCGGAACCCCCCGCCTGACCTCCGGCCACCAGGTTGAGCTGAGCAAACTTGCTGAAGACGCTCTTGGTGGAGAAGTCCAGGTGGCTGGTGGCCAGGCACGAGTAATTGCCCAGGTCCGAGGCGTTGGTGCGTGCGATGTACAGGTTCCCAGTGGTCTGGGACACGAAGTGACGCCCGTCCGTTGGGATGAAGTTGGGGAACTCGTTCAGGAGCCAGCGGTAAGAGAGACCTAGATAGAGAAGTTTGAGGAGGCCGAGGTGGGAGGGGGCTGCCCTGGCCCTGAGAGTTGGGCTCTGAGGAGGCTGGGGGGGGGTGTTGGGGAGTCGAGGGGGGTTGGGGGTTCGAAGGAGGGCGGGGCTTGATTCCTGCCTTCGGGAACCCCAGTCTGATGGGGGAGGCAGGGCAAGACTGCAGGAAGCCCAGCAGCACTGAGGACAGGGGTGCAGGGCCGGGTGTGCCCCAGGATCTCTCACCCCTGCACTGTGGAACAGCTGCCACCCCGCCCCCAACCCCCCGGGGCCGTGGCTCACCTGGGTAGTGGGCAGGAGGGTCACAGGGCAGCATCACCCCCCACCCTTCGTGGGTTTTCACTGGGTCTCGCTCCTCCTTGGAGAATTCCTGCAGAACTGAAGCACAGACAAGGCCTCAGGTGCGCCCTACCTGGGGAAGAGCAGCTCAGGGGGGCTCCTGGGGGGCGGGGCAGTCAAGCCTGCCCCAGATACGCCTCCTGGAGGTTTCCCCGCCCCCGCTCCCCCCACCTCTCCGCAGCCCACAGCCCGGGGTCTCACAGCCAAAGCGCAGCACAGCCTCCCTGCTGACCACCGTGCCCACGGGGTTGGTGGCCAGGCACTGGTACACGCCTGCATCCTGGGCCTTGCTGGGGTTCAGGATGGCCAGGTTACCCCCCACCAGCTGGTGGCGAGAACCTGGCTGAAGGCTCAGGTCGGTGCCGTTCATCTTCCACCTGTAGGAGAGGCAAGGGGGCCCTGAGACCCCTGGCTGGGTGGGGGCAGGGGGGACCCCCAAGAGCTTGGACTGGACTGGCAGGGAGTAGGGGCGGAGGGAGACCCTGAAACCCCATGGGGGGAGGAGTTGAGGGGTGCCCTGAGACCCCTGGCTGGATCGGGCAGGGTAGAGGCAAAGGGGGGCCCGTGAGACCCCTTACTGGGCCTGGGGGAGAGGGTAGGGCAGAGGGGGACCCTGAGGCCCCTGCTGGGCCCACTGGGCAGGCAGGGCTGAGTCGGGGTCTCACCTGTAGGTGGCTGGGGGACTGGCTCGGGCGCGGCACGTCAGCGTGACCTTCTCCTCTGTGGACTCCTCCGGGAACAGCAGGCTCAGGGGTTGGTCTTCAAAGACGGGCCCAAAGGTGGCCAGGGCCCCCCAGGCTGAGTTCCACGCTGCAGGTGGGGGCACGCCCAGGGCCTGAGGCTCTACAGGGACCCTTGACAGTGGAAACCCTTCCCACCCTGTCCAGGCTGCCACCAGCCAAGCACTGCAGAGCCCGGGACTGTCCCGTGTGAGAAGACAGTGGGGGCAGCGGGAGAGCTACAGCCTCTTGCCCTTTGGGGTTGGATCACCCGGAGTTACCCTCATCCCCACAGCCTGCCTCGAGGGTCTGCTGTCTGCCTGGCTCTGGGTGGGGGGCTGTGGGAAATGCGACCCACGCACTGGCCCTCTGCCTGCAGGGCCTGGAGTCTCCGTAGGCTGGACCTTAAGGGTTGCGGCCGCTCTGGCCCATGGCGTCAAGAAACCTGCCTCCCACCCAAGCACTAACCAGGCCCGGCCAGCTTAGCCCTGCCAAGGGTCCGGCTAGGGGGTGGAAGGGAACCCAGGGACAGCTGTGGCTGTCTCCAGAGGGATGTCCCTGAGTGACTCTGGACGGACGGCCTTGGGTCACACCCCTCTCCTGTCACACCCCTGTCCTGCATCTCTCCTCTCTCCTATCACAGCCCTGCCCAGGGTCAAACCTCTGTCCTGTGCCACACTCTAGCCTTGGTCACACTTCTGTCTTTCACACCCAGTCCTGTATCACACCCCTGTCTGGTCACACCCTGTCCTGTCATATCTCTGTTCAGTCATACCCCATCCTGTGTCATGCTCCTGTCTTGCCGCCTTCCTGGTACCACATAGTCCCCTGAGCTCTGCCAGGAGTCACTTCTGAGCACAGAGCTAGGAGCACCCTGACTATCACTTGGTGTGCCCCCCACCCACGTGAGTCATCCAGAGGCACAGTCACAGCCCAAGGAGTCCCTCTCAGGCCAGCACTGGTGCGGGACACTTTCTCATCACACAAAGTCCCAGGAAGGTTCTGAGGCCCCTGACACGTGGGGACACAGAACTGGGGACACTTCTCAGAATGGCGTTGAGGCCTGGCAAAGGGATTGAATGGACTCAGCAGCAAGGCCAGCACCTTAATCCCTGTTCCCCCCTCCCTTTCTCCTGTTCTCCCTCTCTCTCTCCCCTCCCTTTCTCTCTTCTCTATGTCTCTCCTCTCTCCTTCTCTATCTCCTCTATCTCTCTCTGTTTCTCTCATCTTTCTCTCTGTCTCTCCTCTCTCTCCCCGTCTCTCTGTTTCTCCTCTCTCCTCTTTCTCTCTGTCTCTTTCTCTGTCTGTCTGTCTGTCTGTCTGTCTCTCTCTCTCTCTCTCTCTCTCTCTCTCTCTCTGCCCCAAAGGGGCACTCTTGGTGATCTCTGCCAGCCCAATTGCTCAAATCGAGGTCCTCAGGATGTGGAACTAAGGGCCTGTGCTGTTGGGTGTGACAGACACATCCTGGTGAGGCTCTGGGGGAAGAACTAAGCTTTTTGTTTGTTTCTGGGCCACACCTGGCAGTGCTCAGGGGACCATGCAATGTCAGTGGCCAAGGTGCCTTGGCCTTTCTGCCTTGCCACAGGGAGCTTAGGTTTATTGAGTTACTTCCATCACAGTGCTCCCATTCCTTTGTGTTTATTTGTAACCTCTTTCTTTGTGCTCTGTTTCCCCAACCGGTCAATTACCTTTATCTCCCAATCAGACTCTGTTACCTTGTAAATATTGTTTTTCTCTTCTCCTTAAGTCCTCTGCATAGTTAATTCAGAGCAATGTCCTTCTTGTATAGACAACAAGAAGACAGTTAATGCTATGCTTTTGTCACTTGGGAGTTAACTGACTCCGAATAATATTCACTGTTCTCTTGACTTAAGCCTCAACTGCCCTTACTTCATAGCACCCGAAAAGCAGGGTCCCAAAGATGGACTGGATGGACCCGGGGCAAGCTGTGAGCTACCCTGGCATCGAAATGGGCCAGGTCAAAGCACTATAATACTTACCTATAAGTTAAGAGCATGGTCGTGGACAAATTTTGTCATGATCCAAAAAGTAACAACCAAATTAGGGCCCTACTAGGGTTAGGAAAGATTAATCTGGCTTGAGCACTGTAGTCTGAGATCTATAGCGAGATGTCCCCAAGAGAGCAACCCTACAGCTTAATGTATCTCTTCCTGTGTCCATACAAAATAACTAATATTAAGAAGTAGAATTAAGATGTTAATTAAGATGTTAATTTATTGGACTAAGGAGAGGAGAAACACCCCTAAGTGGTATTTTGCCCTTGAGCAGAAGAAGGGCTTTTCATATGTTGATTGTGCTACCACAGGATGGGGTATGGTAGTTACCCCCAATGATGGGAGGCTTTGGGGAGAGATGGGGGGAGGGAGTGAGAGAGAGAGAGAGAGGAAGAGGGGGAGAGAGACAGAGGGAGGGAGGGAGAGAGAGAGAGAGAGAGAGAGAGAGACCAAGGCAGTGAGTGGGAGCGCAGAGAGGAGAGGAGAGACAGGAGGAGACGGGAATGAGGGGCAGTGTGAGACTAGAATGGGGAGCTTAGTGAGATTGGAACAGGTGCCGTGGGGGAGAATAGAATAAATGGCAACTCACTACCAACCAGCCTGGCCCTCGTTTACTCCTTTGTCTGCCCATGGCCTTGGCCATCCCGGGTGGGGAAGTGGCCCGAGACCACCCACACAAACACAGGCAGTGAGAGAGAGCCGCGAGGTTCCCTGGCCGCCTGGAGGATACACACTTGCCCACTGTGGGTCATCCCCCTTTCGTCTCCTTCCCTCTCCTGACCTCCAAGGGACGGGACACTCCACAGGTGGGAAACTGCATCGGAAGCAGCTTCAGCAATCCACATGCTTAGCCGTGGTGCGGGTGATCCACAAACACCCCAAGTTCCCCAGCGCAGGGACCCTCCTTACCTGTGGAGGAGACAAGGGCCACGGCGACCAGCAGCAGTGGGTGTGGACCCCTCCTGACAGATGTCCCCATGCTGGAGGTCCCTGGGCAGCGCCGTGCAGAGGGGAGGGGGCCAGTCAGAGCGGGCACAGCGGGAGGCCCGGGGTGCTGCGGTGGAAAGAGGAGCTGAATCACCCTCCACTTTTGCCCACAGCCTGCGGGAGGGTCCATCATGCAGGCAGGGGGCGCTGTGCTGCCAGAAGCCACACACAGGGGCCCAGGCATGCCCCAGGGAAGGGCTGGGTCATTACCACGGGCCTCCCAGGGCAGAGCGTCTCCCACCGTCCCTCTGGAAGTCTGGCTCTGTGTGGAACCCACCACACACCACAGCCAGGGTGTGCTGCTCAGGGAGCAGAGGGCGGCTAATTGGCAGGCAAGAACCCACCTGCCGACTGCCTTGCTAATGGCCCTTGGTGTGGGGTCCAGAGGGAACAGGGCCCAGCCAGGTTTGAGGCACCAAGAGCATCTTCCGCTCGTGACTGGGGCCTGTGGTCTCCTGCCTGACTGGTGGGGGCGCTGATGAGCTCCTTGGGGAGCTGTGTTTGGTGAGAAGGGTGGGAGGCACTGCCCCTCCCCAGAGCTCGGCTCAGGTCCTGCCCCTGTGCCATAACCTTGAAGGGCCCAGACAGGCCTGATGTGAAGGAGGTAAAGGGGGAAGGAAGCAGGAAGCCCCCTCCATCCCCACCTCCTGCCATTGGGGCCACAGCCCCCACCTTTCTGCCGGGAGGGGAGCAGATTCCAGTGGGCTCTTTGGGCTGAGGAGGGACCCTGAGATCCAGTCAGGGTCCCTCCCGAGTGGCTAGCAGCCTGCCCACTCTGGGGTGCTGAATCTTGGGGTGCTGTCTCGTGACTTGTTCTCAACACTGCATGGGGCTGCTGGCGAGCAGAGAGGGGCTGAGAGCCTGACACAGTCCTGGGAGAACCCTGGGTGCTCCTCACTCAAGTGGTGTTGCCAAACCCTGCCCGATCTGAGACAGGGGGAGCTGGTGCTGAGGGCCTGGGTGCTGTCTCGGCCTGGCCTGGCTGGGTGCTGTCCCTGCTGGGTGCACTGTACCACCCAGGTGCTGTTCTGGCCCATTCTGAGTATCCCGAGACAGGAATAGACAAATGGACAAGGTGGGTGAGAGGAGCCCCGAGGACTATGCCCTGCCCCCAGTGTAGGGTCTAAAGTGCTTGGACCCCCACGGCCACTCCCTTGGGGAAAGGGGCTCCTAAGGCCTTTAAGCTAACCCTTGTCCACCCCTCCGCCCTTTCTGTTTGTGCTGAGGGAAGGGGAGAGGAGGACGGAGGAGGAAGGGAGAGGGAGAGAGGGATGGGCAGGCCCCAGGCAGTCAGGGAGGAGGGGTCTGGAAGTTGGGTGTGAGGGGTAGGGGGCACCTGCCTCGCACAGCCGGATCTCATACTCACCTCCTTCAGAGACCACCTCAACCCCAGCACTGATCCTCTTGAGGTTCTGACCCCAATCCACCCCCTGACATTACCCAACACACCCATCCTGGCTTTGTTCAAGCCCCTCCCCGCGAGCCCCTCCGTGGGGCCACCCCAGCACGCAGTGAGAGCTCAGCTATCTAGGGTTTGGTGGTCTGGGGTGCAAGGAACCAACCAGGGCCCTGTGCATGCCAGTCCTTTGAGGCCTGTCCTGTTCTGGATGACACATACTCACACACTCTCACACTCACATACATGCTAACACAACAAACACAGAGGCCCACACACATACACAGACTCACACACACAATACACACACTCACAGGGACTCACACCAACAGTATATACTAGCACATGTGCACACCGTCACACTCATAGACATGCTCACACTCAATATACACTAACACACATGTCCACACACATACACAACTCTTACTCACATGCAAACACACCCATACTCACATATACACTAACACATAGGCCCACACAATGCACACACTCACACATACATGATGGCATGCATATTCACAAACTCACATACACACGCACTCTAATGCACACACATACGCATACTAGACTCCACAGATACAACTCACACACTTAATATACTCACACACATGCGTACACAGAGTCCTGTGCTGGGATTAAGTCATCAATTAAGTGTCATCACCCAAGGAGTTACTCCTGACTCTATCACTCGTAAATCAATGCTGGTGGTGTTGGGGGGACTAGACACGGTGCTGGAGATCTAACCTATGTTGGCCATGTACAAGGCAAACACCCCAACCACCATACTATTGCTCCAACCCTGGCCCTGGAAGATTCTAGAAGTGCAGCCCTGGTGGCCTGACAGGCTCTATGAACCACTGTGGACTGTGAATCCAGACAGGGTTGTTTCCAGTTTCATCCCTCACAGCTCTGAGAGCTGGCCTAGCTATATTCCCGGGGGGAGCCTCAGTTTTCTCATCTGCAAAGTGGGGTTCTAATACTTAATCGCAGCTGCTCTGGAGGGTAAGCAAGACTAGGGGAGCCCTGGAGTGGAAATCAAGGAAACGCCTGGAGGATCACAGCGAGCTGGGGAAGGGAGAGCCTGGGGCACGGCCCTTTCCAGCCAGAGCACCTCCATTACGCCAGTTCTATCCAGCAGACTCTCCTGGTTCCCTTATTGTCGTGATTGATCTTCGCCTTTAGTTTGTGATCACACTCCGCAATGGTCAAGGCTCTGTGCTCGGCAGTCACTCGTACCCCCGGCTCCCTTTAAACAAGAGGCTCTGAAGTTCCAGAAAGGTGGCCAATCACTCCCTTGGCACAGAGAAGGCTCTCAATCATCTTTGACTCGTGCCCATCACCTGTTGGGCTGCCCCTGCAGCTCGCTGTGGCCCAGGGGCCAGGGATCGTCGTCCTCCTTTCCTGTGACCCAGCCTGGATCACTTACCTCAAGCCCCAACAGCGCATGTGGTTCCCCCCAACCACAGCTGCTCCCTGTTCTCAAAGCTGACTCACCCCACCCTGCTCCCTACACTTTAGTTCCACCCCATTTTCAACTGGTCACCTCTGGGCTCAAGGGCCCTGGGGATGGACCCTTTGCAGTTCAATGGGGACCTGGATGGGGTAGGGACTGGGACTGAGAAGCACCTGGATTTGTCCTTGGGGACCACTGATGATGGTCAGTAAGACCAGAGACTCAATGAGTTCCACTGTGTGCCAAAGCCTGCACATGCGCATACACACACACACACACACACACACACACACACACACGCACACACGCACACACACTCACATGTACATCCACAAATATGCTTGTGCACACATCTAGGCTAGAGCTCGGAGCACAGAGCCTCCCTAGAGGTGAGGTTTGCCATTAGTAATGGCAATATTGGGGCCAGGACAGCAGCTCAACAGGCTGAGGCACAAGCTTTGCCTGAGTTGGATCCCCGGCACCACATGGGTCCCCCTTGGGCACCCGTTGCTTGCACAGAGCCAGGAGCAGCTCCTGAGATACGCTGATGAGTCCCCCAAGCAAAAACTCACACACAAAAAAAAGTAGCCTTGGGCTGAATTTGGGGAAACAGCTACACAAACTCTGTGTTCTCGGGGAACCTATCAACTTGCGGTCACACAAACACTGTATGCTGAGGGGCCCTGACCACCTGCGGTCACACAAGCCCTGTGTATTAGGGGCCCCTGGCCACCTATGCTTACATAAACCCTGTGTTCTGGGGAAGGCCTGGTCACCTGTGCTCACATAGACCTTGTGTGCTGGGGGTCCCTGGTCACCTGTTCTCACACAAATCCCGTATGCTGGGGCCCTGACCAACTGCAGTTGTACTCAGGAGTCGGTCACCCCCTCCCCCACCTCACCCCCCCAGCCTGTCTGCCCTCTGGCCGGTGATAGAATGTGCAGAATGGAGCAGGCACTTTGGTCAGGAGCAAGGCTGCAGTGGACCAGACCCAGGGACCTGGGCCCAGCAGCTCTCCTGGCACACGGGGATAGGCCCAGGCTGGTACAGGCAGGCATGGTGTGTCACCCCCAGGATGCAGTCCTATGGGAGTGGGCGGCTTGGGGCTTCAGGGGTACTGGGGGAGCTGAATGAACTACTAAGCCTAGGAAGCAAAGGGCAGGGGACAGGCAGACCCCGCACAGAACAACGTGTGTGGCCAGTGGCCTGTACTGAGCAATCAAGGGTCCCCAGTGTGTCCTCTTGGGCCCCAGCTCCTTATTGTCTCCCCAGGTCTCTGAACAAAGTGCTTTCAAGGGGAAATTTGGACATGGGGGGAGCAGAGGGGGCGGGAGAGGATGGATCAGGGAACAGCAGCCAGGGGGATGACATGCATGGACCCCACGGCCCTCTCCCCTGTCACACGGCACAAGAAGAACTTGGGAGCTGATGTCAGCCCAGTGTGGCCCTGCAGTGGCCACAATGTCGTTACCTCTCCACTGAGCTCTTTTCCCTTTCTGCAACACGGCAGGAGGGACAGGGACAGGCAACACCTTCCTGGGCTGCAGTGATGCTGGGGAAAGATCCCAGCTTCCCGCAGGCCCCAGCATGTGTTTATATGCTGTGTGTTGTGTGTGCTGTGTATGCTGTGTTGTGTTATGTGTGCTGTATATTGTGCGCTATGTGTGTTTTACATGTTGTATGCTGTGTATGCTGTGTGTTGTGTGCTATGTGTTACTTGTGCTGTGCATGTTGGGAGTGCTATGTGTATTGTGGGTGCATGTGTGCAATACACTGTGTGTGCTGTGTGCTGTGTGTTGTGTGCCAGGTGTGCTATATGTGTTGTGTGCCGTGTGGGCTATGTGATGTGTACTGTGTGTGGTGTGTGTGCTGTGTGCTGGGTGGTAGGTGGTGGGTATGCTATGTGCTGTGTGTGCTGTTTGCAATGTGTGTGCTCTGTGCTGTGTTTGCTGTGTACTGTGTGTGCTAAGTGCTGTGTGTGCTGTGTGCTGAGGGCTGTGTGTGTTGTGTGCTGTGTGCTGTGTGCTGAGTGCTGTGTGTGTTGTGTGCTGGGTGCTGGGTGCTGGGTGCTGAGTGCTGGGTGCTGGGTGTGCTGGGTGCTGTGCAGGGCTGCGCTATGTGTGCCGACAGAGCCGGCTGAGCCCAGCCCCAGCAGCTGGGAAGTGGCTCTCTGAGGCAGGCAGGAGGGCAGGGGGAGGGACAGGCGGCT